TTGTCATGAATCATCTCCATGGAGAATGACTGTTAAGCTTGAAGATGCATCATTCTCTCTTAATAAAATGCTCATAACTTCTGAACACTGGATATTTAGCAAATCATACAGACAGAGCAGAGTTCCAGCTCTGTCAGAGATCTGCAAATGACGGCTGTCAAAACAGGCAGGACATTATAATTTGTCAGCATCACATCATGTTTCTTTGAAATAGACTTTTAAATAGACTGTTAATAAAAGTGTGTAAATTTAGTTCTTTTCTTCATCAGTTCTGTCTGTGCCTGATCTTTGATCCCATTTCTGGTCCTGTGGAGCTATTATAGAAACATGTAAGAGATTAGATTCTTGAATTCCTTGGGTAATGTTTTATCTTCAATGGAGTCCCAGTTATCCACAAGCTTTATCTTTTATTCTGCTTTAATGTTCTCAGTCTTCTAGCAGTGAGAAGCAGGAATGAGTCATTTTGAAGTCAAGCTTTATGTCACCTAAAGGTATATAAGTTCAGACTCATGACTGAATGCTTGAAGATTTGCTCACTCCCTGCTGACTAAGCATAAAGGTCACCTTATCTTCAGCAACATCTTCCTCTCATCTGCTTACCTTTATCCTTCTCCATAGCTTTAAACTGGACTTTGGCACACAGGTAATATCCGAGTGGAACCAAACTGTGCAGATGCAAATGTCAGCTCATAGTTTCTTCTTTTTGTTAATACCTGAAACTAAAATTAGCTCCACTGAGCTATGTGGAGTAAATATTAGGAACTTAAAATTAAATATTACTTTATTTGCTATGCATTGGATGGGGCCAAAATAAGAAGAATCTTATTTCTGCCTGAAGTGTTATTCAGCTCATCACAGAGCAGAGGAAGGAAGAATTTCTGTCATGTTTAGGCTTGCTGTTGGGTCATCTCTGTTTTCACAAGCAAATGTCAGTTCTACCTCTAGCTCACATAGCTGCTAAAGAATCTGAACTTTTTTTTTTTAAATTTATTTATTTATGCATACAAGAGCTAGGGTACAGGCCAGAGATGGGGGTGTTGAGAGGATTCACCAGAGACACAGTGGGGAACAGAACAGGCAGACTGACTGAAATGCACTGCTAAGGGGAGCAGAGGGCGAGACAGGAGAGGTCTGCTTCACCATGTGGTTTCTCCCTGGCCGGCCAGGGATTGAACTCGTGCTGCAGAGGCTCTGGATTGCTTCATAGTGCTGTGGATTGCTTCATAGTGCTCCCTTGTGCCACCAGGGAGGCCTGATGAACTTTTAAATGACATTTTCAAGAAGATTGTCAGAGAGTACCACTCCAAACTCTGTTGCTAAATTACACTGGATATATATACAGTCTACAAGTAGCACACTTTTTATTGCACTAGCTTCATTACTGGGTCTCTTGATCTTATTCTTCATTCTTTGATACTTGTGTCCTGAAAAAAAATATTATATCAAGTATGATATTTACTTCATCATTAAAAAAATAGGATTTAAGAGTTTATAATTAAAAGCAAAATTACTCTTCCCATGATTAATGCCAACTTCTTGTGGCCATACCTTCATGACATTCTTTCTGCCCTTTAGATATGTACCTTTTGCTCATTGTGGTGTATCCTTTTAGTGTTGGCATAATTTTTGCTGTTTTAAAGGAAATATTTCAAAATAATAGTATTTGTCTCACAAAGGTAGAAGTTTTAAAATGACAAACTGATTTTTTTAATGTAGAGACTATATGTTTATTAGTAAGATTATAAGAGAAGTATAAATTCAAACTTTTCTCAGTTCTGTATAGATTAAAATAAAAATTCTGAGGGAGATGTAAATGGTTAGTGCAATAATAAAAATGTTCATAAAGATTTTAGATAAAGATTAAATTTAGAGGGCCTATAAAAATAAGACTATGCTATAATTTATTTGAATAACATTTAAAAGACATTACAAGTTTAGTGTAAATTATGTGAAATGACAAACTGATTTTTTAAGCTTTTTCTATTTCCTTAAAAATCTTTTATTGATCTTTCAGAGAGCAACAGATTATATAAAATGTATTTAATTGATATTCTGAAAAAAGTTAATTTTGTTCTTATTTCCTTAAATTATATAGCAGTAATAATATTAGATAAATGTTAGAATGGAGTACTGTTAGAAGAATAGACGAAGGTCAATGGAGCAGAATAGAAAATTCAGAGAGACTAACACAAACATACCCAACTGCTTTTTGACATAAGTACCAGTACAATTACTCCCAGAAGTATAAGTTTTCAACAACTAACACTGGGAGTAATTGGACATCTGTAGGCAAAAAAAAAAAAAAAAAAAAAAAAAAACAATTTAAACCTCAAACCTTATGAAAATATTAACGCAAAATGGGTTTGGATTGCAAAATTAAATCTAAACACAAAGGTAGAAAAGTTTTGGAAAAATAGAAGAAAATCTTTGAGATCTATGGCTAGGTAGATATGTCTTTTACTTGATGTCAAAAGTACTATCTATAAATAAAAATTTAATAAACTTCATCACATATAAGAAGATCTGCTTTGGGGAATCACCTATTGAAAGAATGAAAAGCTCGAACTGGGAGAAAATATTTACAAACCACATATGTGAAAAAACCCACACTTTAATCTAGTACATACAATTAACCTTCAAAAAGTTAACAATAAATTTTCATTCCAATAATAAAATGAGCTATACACAAGAGCATGTATTTCACCAAGGAGGGTATATAGATGACACATAAGTACATGAAAAGATCTTTGCTATTAGGGCAATGCAAATAAAGGCCAACAAAATCTCACTGCATACTTATTAGAAAGGTTAAAGTAACAGATAATCTACTAAAGTGGCCAAAACATGGAGAAACTAGATCTCATGTCCAATGCTGGTAGGAAGGTAAAATGGTCTAGCCACTCTGCAAAACAGTTGGCAGTTTTCTATAAATAAAACATGTGGCTGTATGACCTAGCAATTGCACTCTGAAGCATTTCATTATGGAGAAATGAAAACTTTCAGCTATACAAACTTATATTAATACAAAAAATACATGAATATTCATAACAGCTCTGTTGACCAAAAACTGGAAACATCCCTAATATTGTAAAAAGAGTGAATGGTTAAAACTGTGATACACTGATACCGTGGTATACTAAATAGCAAATGAAGAGGAAAATTTTTGATATATATCAAGGTCATTTTGCTAAATAAGAAAGAGCAGTCTCAAATGTTATGTACTGTATGATTCTACTTATAAGCAATTCTCAAAATATCAAAATTGTAGAAATGGGCAGCAGATTAATGGTTACTAGAGATTAGGGTTTGGTGTCAGATGAGTAAGGTGTGACTTTGATGAGGTAGCATGAGAAAACCCTTTTGTATCTTGAATGTGGTGCTGGTTACATACAGCTGCATAGATGACCAAATTGCATGGAAGGGCATATAATCACACAACTGAGTGTTTGCAAAACTGGTCCCATCAACATACGCTATGTAGATTATACCAAGGTCAATTTCCTGGTTTTGATGCTTTATTTTGGTAAAGTATCCCCTATGGGAGGCAGTGTGGAACATAGGTTTGATTGTGTGTGTGTGTGTGTGATCATATATATATATATTATATATACATATATCTGTATATATGAGATATATAGGGCAAAAATAACATTAGAGTGATAAATGTAAAAGTCTTCAAATCTACCTCTTTGTTAACATTTGCATGTAAAGGAACTTGAATGATTTTACTTAAATGTGGGACTACTTTTTAAGTTAGTATATAAACCTGAAAGTGAAACTTTCTATCAGATATAAGCATACATGAACATGAACATAGATATGACCCACATTGAAAGAATAAAGTGTGTGGTAACAAAGGGGAATATCATAAAAATCTGATCTAATGACAGACTATGTGGATGGGTTCAGGAAAGCATTTGAAATCAAGATTTTGTAGAGAGGTGTAATTCTCTGTGTTTTGACTTCAAAGTTTCTCTAATCCAACTAAACTGCAGGTCACAATTGAACCACTGTCAGTTCTAAAGAATAAAGTGTGAGATTTAAAAAATTATGCAGGCCAAAATAACAACCTACATGTCACCTACTTCATTGTTTAAAATGACATATGTTGTCCTAGTCAGTTTCATGTTATGTCAAATAGATCATTTCTACCATTGTGTTCACTTAGATTTCAAGGATGGGTGAAGAGCAAGGGGTTTCATCAGATTTTACTTTTATTCAGTAATTGGAAGGAAGCTGGTTAACTAGGGAACCCTCTTAACCGCACAAGCAAACACACCTATACACAGCAGTAGTTGGAAGCAACATTTATTTATTCAGAAAAGCTGTGCTCGCTCCCTTGAGGATTTTTTGCAACTAGTGATGTGACTGCACTGGATTTATAAATATATATACATATATATATATATGTCACGACCAAGATTATGAAAAGAAAGGCTGCATATGTGTGTGGTTACCCTGATGTGAATGTTTGGACATATAGACATGATTTTATATCTTGTTCATGCAAATTGGCAGACCAAAGACCAGTATGAAATCTCCAGTTTTCTGGCAAGTTTCAAGTGTGAGTGTAGACACTGAGTGCATAATAGTGCTATGGAGAGATAGTAGTGCTTCTCAATTGACGTTTCTACTACAGTGAAGTGCGTGGTGGTTCAACAACTAGTTGAAACTTACTTCTTACTAAGGAGCTGTGTTTGTAGGAGGACTATGAAGGGAAACGTGGGGAATAGCTTCGGATGGTTATAACTTGTCAACATAGTCGCAGAGGATAAAAGCAGAAGGAAGAAGAATTCTTTTACAGAAGCTGCATTCATTACCTGGCAGTTTAATTAGAATCTTCTCAAATTGACCAAAATTATTAGTAGCTATAAAATGTTATAATAAACACAAGGAAATCACAGCAAACTCTTTGAAGCATTGACTTAAAAGTTCTTTTGTTTTGTATTAAGAGGTATACATTTCTAGTTTTGGACTTCAGAAAATGGGTGATCACCCCAAACTGAACCATTACTGAACCGTTACTTCTTTCCACTTGGAAAACTAAAAGGTAAAAGAAAGTTAATATTCCCATATTTGATTGGTGGAGGCATCATCCTTTTTGCCATCAGCCTCGTAGGAGACTTTTGAGTGGACTTCCTCAGGTAGAGGGGCTGCTTTTGCCCTAAGCTTTATTTCACTCTTGTTCATGTGTGTTTCTTTGAAGGACACGTGCCTGAACATCTTTAGATTCTCTCAAGTTATCTTTATAATCCACTGACTTACAATCCATATGGATACCACACAGTCTTGGAAGGAAGTGGTGGAGCTAAAATTATTCTGGCAAACATTTGGAAAAATCACTCTTGCTTCAGTGACCACTTGTCTCCAACTCCTGAGGCAAACCAGCTTTATGATAGTGGTCTAGAAATTAAATTAAGGAGAAAAATGTATATTGTCATTGCCTTATACATATTGCTGCATCATTTAAAAATACCTTTCAATATATTCATGAATCTTAATTGTTTGCTTTGTTTCTGTTTTTTACCTTTTTACTTCAGTGTGAGTTATCCAAGCTTGGAGACAACTCTGCACGGATGGCCTGCTTGAAATTAAACATATCACGCTTCTCAAATACCATATTTTTCTTATTTCAGTTTCTGGTACAATTAGTGGTCTCTCAAATACCAAGATTAAAATATAGCAACCTGCTTTCCACATTCTCTCATCATCCCTCTATCTATATCCCATCTGTTGGCAAGTCGAGTTGCCACTGTTCCTCATCTCTCCATTATCTGTACCTGGTTGTCCTTTTATCGTTAATACCTTGCCTAATAGGACTCCTTTCAGGCTTCAGTTACCTGCACAGTGCTAATAGCTTTCATCATGTCTTCATCTTCACTTTTCCCCTATTTGAAATCACATACAGTAAGACATCTTAGAGGCTTTATCAAATAAACAGAGCAGATAAAACCATAAAAATCACTTTTAACAAAAATTCTCAGTAACATGAACCATGACTCCATGGTGGATGCACGTTCATGACTATTCTTCTTGCCTTATCTCCATCAGTTTCCAAGTTTTAATCCAGCCCTGCCCTCACCCCTAACCCTTCGCACCTTATCCCTGCTTCCCAGTAAGTGGGGCTACCACAAGGGGACTTGGTGGGTGTCTGTGTCACTCCTTCCTTGGTCTTTGAAAAACAAATAAACAAGTGAACTAAATTAAAACTTCAGTTGCTTTTGACTTTTAACCTGAGATAAATTGTGAGTATTAAAGTGATTGTCAAATTTCTATAACAAACTATGTACCCCCAGAAGATGGGACTCTCCTCTCAAGAAGAATACCTAGTTCTAAGATGCTTGCAACCTTTCCTGCAACACAACTTGGATGGTTCAGGTATATTCCAAAACTGTCTCTTCAACTGTGGTGCTAGGACTTACTCACTTTCATCTCCAAACAGTCCTTGCACCTGTATCCTACAGGTGACCCCATCTTCCCATGTCTGGACCCGCTGCTCTTCCCTGGGACACCCCTTCTACTTGTGCCATTGCCTCTTATGTAACTACCAGATTTTCATTGAGACCCTAAGATCTATTCCCAACCCTAACTCTTTTGGGAATTATTTCCTCATCATTCCAACTTTTTTCTGCAATCTGATACTTTCTCTCCGCTAAACTTTATAACAAATTCTGGAAATTGTCTTTCCTTGTTTCATGTTAAGTATTTCTTTATTAGACTATAAACTCCTTCAAGGTAAAAACTATGCTTCATTTACTTTTCCTTTACATTTTCTAAACTTTGATAGTTTCAGTAAATATTGTTCACTTAAATTCTTGCTTAGAGTACTATACTATTGTTTTTTTGTGATTTTTATATTCATGGAGTTTTTGCTTTATACAAATTTATAAGAATATCCATGTATGTGCACATATTTCTGTCCATGCTTATTTCAGAACATTTGGATACACACACACACACACACACAGAGAACAAAATAAAAATCTATTATTTTATTACATAATTAAGCTAACATCTTGATGTATTTTTCTAAGTTTTATCTTTATCTTTTTCAAATACATTATTTTTTCCTTACTTTATTAGTATTATGTTTTGATTATTTTCCATCATTAAGAATTCTTTGAAAAAGCCATTTTAATGGTGCATTAATATTCCATGTTGTAAATGATCTTTCATTCACTTTTGTTGAAGTAAATTTAAATTGATTCTAGTTTTTCCTCATTACAAAATGTAAATGCAGCAAACATTGTACGCAAAAATTTGCTCTACTTCATGATAATTTGCCTATAATTTATTTCTAGATCCAACATTAGGAGATAAACAGAATATGTTTTGAAATTCTTTCAGGGATTTTTTACTACTCAGTATGTCACTACAGAATCTGGTGGTTCTTGTCTGCCAGACCCTTGCAGCATTGGATTTCAAATTAAAAAAGAATCATGGGGGCCTCCTTGGTGGCACAAGGGTTAAGCACACCACTGTGAAGCTATCTGCAGCCTGTGAATCACGAGTTCCCTGAGTTCGATTCCTGGCCAGCCAGGGAGCAATCCACATGGCACAGCAGACCTCTCCTGTCTTGCCCACTGCTCCCCTCAGCAGTGTATTTCAGTCAATCTGCCTGTTCTGTTTCCCTCTCTGTCTCTAGTGAATCCTCTCATGCCCTTCTCCCCCACCTCTGGCCTGTACCCTAGTTCTTGTACGCATGAATAAATAAATCTTTAAAAAAATAAATTAAAAAAATAAGAAAGATTCATGGCTGGTTTCACATTCCTGGTGTAGGCAGGATTGTCCCAAAACATTCTCTTAAAGTCTTCTAATTCTTCTTTCAATTTGCTTTTTTCAGTTCATCTAGCTGGAGTTCTGCCGCTTAACTTCCCTTTGGCAATTCTGAATATAAGAACGTCAGCACTTCTGAATGTGTCTTACTAAAGTAGTTTCAAGTCAAGTGGGAGACTGAATCTATAATTGATACACTGACTGGGCTGATAGTGAGGACTTTCTGCTGCAGCTGACAGAGATTAGAGTTATGAGATATAGGTTATTTTCATAGAAAAGTATGACTCATTTTATTTTGATTAGAAATGGCACAATTATTTTTTACTCGTTATGCATTCAGTTTTAATAAAAGAGCCTGATTTAAGAATATTATTAGAGGGCCTCCCCTGGTGGTGCAGCGGTTGAGCGCTGGGCTGCAAAGCTGCCCGCAGCCTCTGCAGCACCGGTTCGATCCCTGGCCACCGGGTGAGGGTCCCACATGGCGGGCAGACCTCTCCTGCCACCCGCTGCTCCCCTCAGCAGTGTATTTCGTCACTCTGCCTGTTCTGTTCCCTGCTCTGGCTCTGTGAATTCTCTCACCCTCCCGCGTTTCTGACTGTACTCAGTGCTTGTATAAAAATAAATAAATAAATCTTAAAAAAAAAAAATTATGAGATACCATTTTTATAAAGTGGTAGTTTTTGCTTTGGGCTCTGTCCTGCTGTTATTCTTGATTGAAATTGGTACTTACGGATGGGGGAGAAGTGTGAGAATGGTTTTGTGTCATGATCTCCAAGCTGTCTCACCCACTGTGAGTACAGGACACACACCAGTGGTGGTTATTAAATAAGCCTGCGTCTTCATGTTAAGACTCTGTAGCTGTGATTTTCTTCAATCTGTTGCCAACTTTTCTCTGACAGAAACAGTAAGATGGGGAAAATACCACACTTTCTCATGAAAGGGGGATCTTCTTGCCTATTCAATTATCTGATGACTAAACATGTTAGTAATTAACTTCCAGTGTTATTTTACCTTAGGAAATATGTTCAGCTAGAATTCTTTCAAGGAGAAATAATGTATGTAATATCCCACTTTAAGTTGTTTATATTTTAATGTACTCAAGTCTAAGACATCCCCCTTCATATGAAAAGTTGATGCCACTGAATCAAATATGCAATTTGAGAGTTTTATGCAGGTATAGGGATTTATCCATTGTAATGCATCAGCATTGTGTTTGCAAGGTGTGGAGAGTTGTGTTTGAAGCTCAGTCAGTGAGTACCAAGTGATCAGCCAAGGACACAGGAAAACAATAGCAAAATAATGACTTGTCTGGAAATAGAGGCTGAGATTTTGATAGATTAGTCAGTTCTACCCCACAAGTTTCAGAGACCCTGATCACATAGTCATAGAGTATTTTAGTATGCTTTCTTTTCATAATTAGCCCTTTGATCTATTTGGCAATTCTTTATGTGGCTGGGATGGAGAGAAAGGGATAGATGCTGACAGAGAGGACATTTATTTATCAATGAAACCCAAAGTAAGGATGCTAATAAAATACTTCAATACATATGTTCAAGACCTGGAGTTGGGAGAATGAAATAACATTGTGTTTTTTTTCTGTGGAATCATATATAACTGCTATTTACAAATGATAATTTTGTGGTGAAAGAAAACACGCTTTTCTTTTTGGATTTAAATCAGCCAACTCTACTGTTACTTAAGATTTCAAAAACAATTAAAAATTTGCAAAGGATGCTTTATATTAAGATTACAACACTGATAAGAATATAACAGAAGTTTAATTTTTACACAACCTGAAGATAATCATGCTCCATCTTGGATAATAAAAATGTAACTCCTTGCATTTACCTGGATTTATAGTTTCATACTGGAGGGTGCATTCCTGCCCAACACAGTGTTGTCTTCTGAGTTACCTGAGAAGATTCCTCCCCATCCTCTTGAATGGAAATTGAGAGACTCTCTCAGTCCAAACAATAAATGCTAATGTATAATCAGCAAAGTATTGCAGTAAATCCCCTGTGTTTTATCAGATTTGGGATCTCTAGAGTGCTAACTTCCATGAAGCAGGAAGATTTCACATACAACTTAAGCAAAATGTATATTTCCACAATATGAATTTATTGGAGGGAGTCCACATTGTAATAATATAAGCATACCATTCCGTGGCAGCAAAAGGGGAAAGGTAAAGAATATCCTGGCGACTTTCCTGAAGTCTGGCACACTGAGTGGTCAGGACTAGTCCTGAGAGCAGCTGGTATTCATTCATCTATAGGGAGGGAAGTTGCTACTTCCTGGTTGTTCTAATACATGGTAAAGGCTTCAGGACCAAAGATGTGGTGTTCATAAGTATGTCCAGTTCCTCAAATTTGGAGCCTGTGTTTATGCTACTTTCAGAGCCATCTTACCAGGACTATCTGTTAATTTTTATTTAGGCCTGTTCTCTCCACCCAATTTTTTAAAACATCTGTTGTAACTCTTTAGCATGCTGTTTATCAATGTCTGCATAAATAAGTGCTTTTTAGTTTTTTTTTTAAGGATATGTCTATGCATACAAGAACTGGGGTGTAGGCCAGAGTGAGAGGATTCACCAGAGAGAATGGGGAGCAGAACAGGCAGATCTACTGAAA